TTTTTTTGTGGTATTTTGTTACAACATGAGTATTTTCTTCACGCTCCTTTTTCTCTTTTTGCAGGAAATCTTACGCTCAACCATGCTCTTTCTTGACGAGCGACAAAAGAAGTTGACCTCTTTGGATGTCATTGCTGCCGAGAAAGAAGAAGATCGCCGATTACACACTACATTGTTACAGAACACAAAAATGGCTATTGGATTGGCAGGAGCTGTTATTATGGCCGCTTGTGCTGACGAACAAGTACTTTATAAGAATAGACCTCATTGATTCAGAAAGTAGTAATTTTAGACCGCATCTGCACTTGCTGAGACGTGTACAACCCTGTCATCGTTTTGCAAGCTGGTAACTGATTCAAGATGCAGTGATGAGGATGTCACGACCTTAGCAGCGGATGCGCGAAAATTGGCTTCATTATTTGAGAAGGAGCAACCACCAGCTGTTGCAGAGCCCGACATAAGTAAAAAGTGAGTAACTTTATATTCTATAATAATCTTTATGTTCATTTATAATCTTTACGTTAGTTACGGAGATCTTGCATCATCACTGTCTCTTATGGCTATGTAATTTTATTTGTACTTCAGAGATAGTAAAGTAAATGTTGTGGATAGCATACGTGAACGTCTCGCAGAAGATTCTCCCGTTGAGCGCGGTGGAGCCCTTCTTGACGCTGGCAGGTTGATACGTTTGCGAAGTCCTTCAGTTCTATTGCAGCTTGAAGAATGGTTGTTTGTAGCAATGAAAGGTAAAGCTAAGATCTTTGTTAAGGTAAAGCATCAAAGAATATTTGGTTCCTCTACGCCGACTTTTTTTCTATCTCTAGTTCGAAATTCTTTTTTGATAAATCTGCTCGTCTCTTGGGGTAGTGACAGATGCGCGTGTATTCTGAACCACTATGCAACTTTTGGCTGTAGACTATACAAAGGTATCAATGAAGAGATGGCGATCCCTATATCTTTATCATACTCCGAACATGTATTTAAGAAATCTATCAAAATCATTTCAAATGTGTTAACTAAGTGATATAATCGTCTGCTTCTTCGTACATGACATTTGATCAAGTCACAATTTTCCTGTTTTAGACGCTCTTTTTGACAGCGACTCCTACGTGTACCTGGCTGCTATCAATGGACTTGCAGAAGCATCCTGTTACAGTTCGAAGTATCTACGTGAGATGATCTCGCTATTTAAAAATTTTGAAATTCCTTCTACATCGTCTGATTCTCAAGTATGTACGGTTTTATTTCTTGTGTTTAACCTCTGAATTGTTCATCCCCAATCTAGGTTAAAGATAAAGAGGAGGATGATGTGGCTGTTGAAGAAGACCCAATTCGCGTTGACGTCGTTGTTCGTTCCAGACTTTGCGAAGCAATTGGGAAAGTATTCCGTGAATTAGGTAT